ATGCGCTCCAAATTTATTAGGATTAGATGCCATTAATTCTCCAGCTGACATTATAACATTATCCGAGGATAAAACTGTCATTCTTGAGTTGAATGTTTTGAGGCATCAGCCTCAACCTAACTGGCCTCAATTGATGAAGGTGATTACTGACACGATGTACTAACGAAGCTATTCATTTTTTTTTTATTTCTATGAAACTTCTCTTTGCAGGTGATATCGATGAGTAATTACGTTGTGGCAAAGATGTTGCTGAAGACCTTAGTACGTCAAAACGTGGGCGTTACGTGCGTGGACGACAGTGACGCAGCTGAAAAATCGAAGACAAACGAAAGAAGTTGTAGCGGCTTTTTATGTAGTAGTTCGGCGTGTGACAAAACGCTAAAAATAACTTCGGCTCTGGCATTATACAGCTTATTTCACGTATTGGTGATAACTGTTAACAAACCGGAGCACGTAATTATACCAGCGCTGAAGCAAGATTCGAATTGGTCCAATTATTTGGACAGACAACAGGTCGTATGTTTTTACGAAATATCGTTTGAAGAGTTAATTGTATAAATTAATTATTAATTCTCATTAAAATATTGTTTACTAAAATAATATATATATATATATATATATGGATGAGTTTAATATGACAAGAATTTTCATTTTTGTTTTAATTTATTTTTAATGAAAATTAACAGAAATTATCATATGTATAGTATGTACGAATATTATACATATTATATAGAAAAAATATATATATAATATAAAATTGAAATATTTTAAAAGTGACATTTAACATTCCTAAATGATTTATTTATATAGAAAAAGAGAAAAATATCTGTTTTATATATAAACTCCGTATATATTACATAAATAATATTAAAAAGATATCTACAATTTTTTAAAATGTTATTAATCATACGAGAAGGAGACTTTCTTGACATGAAAATAATTTTAGGATTGTTGTATCTACAGTCTGTGTGTTCATTTTATCAAACTTTTATATATTCTGTTTTACTTTAATTTATAAAAGCGTTGAATACATCAATTGTGAGTGTAAAAAAATTGTAATTTATTTATCGCTTTAAAGGTCTGGAATCAATCGCGACCACCTTGGCTCAATGCGTTGATAAAGCCTTTGAAGATCATGATGCAGCCTGTGACTGAGGCTCTTTTAGAAGCCGCGAAAGTAATTACCATACAGTACTGTTTACGCGACGTGATCCAACGTGTGCGAAGAGTATATTTATATTTTACAAGATAGAAGTTATATTTATTGTTTTTTATAACAATATTTAACTTTTTTTAATCATTTGTTAAAATTCCGAATAATATCAAGGCCGTACGTCACTACGGTGTCATAAGAGATGCAAAATAAATTGTGAAGTTTGATATTGCTATGAGGATTACAGCGTTAGAATAAATTAAAAACAAATTATTTTCAGACAGGTGCCAGTATATATCAAGCCATGTCCCTTGCGATCGGCTGTTTCGCCGAGTTGTACGTGACCGCCTCGACTCCGGTTTTACGCGCCGCGTTCGCGTTAAACGACAACATCCCCGCGCACTGTCGGCCGATCGGCGGCAACGTGTTGCTCCAGGTGTTATGCGCCGCTCTGTATTCCACCTTCCTGGATGTGTCCGCAAAGAGTAAGAACGAGCCTCATGATACACCGGGATCTGGGGACACGTGCTGCGAGCTGAGCCCCTTCAATCCGTATGACAGATCTACCGCCGCAACGGCGCTTGCTGAAGCAATTTGCAGCATCGACGAGGACAATAAACATACATCGCAGATAGACTCCTTCCTGCTTCTTGTAAAAGATAGGTAGGTGAGTTATTTTGTAATTATATATTATCCCTAATTGTAGGATAACAGTAATAGTGATATGATTTTTATAAACTAACAATTTTCTACCGCGATGTTATAAATTGCGTTTATAATTTACCCCACAATAATTCTTCATAATATAATTTTCCACAATAATTCACCACTGGAGATATAAAAGAAGTATAGAATTTATAACTTCTTAGAAAAAGTTTATTGTTGAAAATGCTAGATCTGTCTGTACCAGAATTAAGAATGTGTTGAATGCGGAGTTAATTTAAAAGATGCGTTTTTAATTTAAAAGATGTTATAAAATGTTAAAAGATGGATTTGGGATTAACATTTGTTATATGTCATTGTTATGTGTTCTATATTCAAATAAATGCATAATAATACACATTATTATGAATTATATTTACAGCTTGAATTTCGAATTGTGTTACAGCACTGCGTTGGATTATTCCTGATTTATTTATTTATACACAAATATAACTCGCGCTCGGAATAAATACGAGATAAAAACTGTATTGTGTCACATATAATTTTATAACGTTGTTACGAGCTTATGTTTGCAAGAAATATAAACTGTGCATTGTATTATATGAAGCTTTATATATAATTTTCTTAAACTTAACATTTAATAAAATTTCGAGAAAACGAAACTTATTAATGCAAGATACAATTGAAACTAAGCGTAATTATTCCATTTTATAACTTGATTATATTTAATCTAATTTAATATCGATTATAATAATTTTACATATTTTTTTTAATTTTATTTCATCTAAGGCTGCGTTCGGAAACGTTATCCGGGTGCCTCTGTGTATCATCTTATTCTTGTTTAACATTGGGTAAACAACAAGGGTAAAACGATACACGGAGGCACTCGTGTAACATTTTCGAACGCATCCTAAGTGAAAAAAAGAAAAAGGAAATTTATTACAGCCTCAGAAGAGAACATCAGAATCCGAGAAATGGTGAATTACAAAACATGGCTTGCGTCATCGAGACTTACACGGACAAATTGTTATTCACGAATATCGGACGACGTTCTTTAAAAGTGAGTAAAGAATCGGAAATGTTCGTACATTTGCCGCATGAGAAACGGACGCATAATGTTTATGAATGATGTTTATGTACGCAGATTGCATACGAATATCTAGTTCGAGCGTCCGACTGGGTATTAAGTAATTTACGTCGTGGCGAGGAGAGTAGGCAGGTAGATTTGATTAATCTGCCGGAAGTCTCGCCCATCGTGAAACCTCTCACACATATAATGTTTCATATTGAGGACACATGCTTTGATCAAGTTAGTTATTAGAGTTACACGCCCCTCAGTGATAGCTACATGGAAAGAATGGTTTTGCTAAAGCATTTAAAAATGTAGTTAGTTACACACAGATCTGAAAATAATAATTTTATTAAATCATCAAAATAATTACGTAGAACGTTTCAGCGTTTATGACAATGCCGCAAAAAAATTTAATATTCTAACATCTAATTTGAGCATCTTGTATAAATATTTTGATAATCCAAACAAAATTATTTTTAGATTTGTATTTAGCTAAATTTTTAGTTTTTTTTATTTTTACTTCAGCAAAATCTTTCTTTCTGTGTATGGATCTTCGATACGAATTCAACTGTGCTTATAATTAGCAAACGCATTGCGAATAAATAGTGTATATTTCAGTTTATGGCTAATTACGAGGCAACAAATTGGTCAAGGATATTAACAATGCCTCTATCGATTACTTTGGAGCGTGTACGAAGTCAAGTTCTCATAAGACCGGAATTCAAGAACATTGGAGATCTGAGCCATGAAGATAAAGAAGTGGCGCAATCTATCAAAAGGATTTGCTCGTTTGTTAGGTCAGCACGTTTCAAATAAGTCACTTGCATACGTAATGTAAGTAGAGCAATATCTTTCTCGTAATTTATTCAATATGCTTGAATTTTAACTCTGTAGATATGTTTGCCCAATAAAACGGATTCTCGAAATAATACACAGAAAGATGTTTTTTTTATAGTTTCCTATGATATTTTTTTTACGTTTATAGCTTTTGATAAGATATTTTGTAGTAAAGTGTAGGTTGTGTTTTTTCGCATTTTACATAATACATTTCGAAGTAAATAGTCGCCAATTTCTTCTCGTGAAAAAGTTCGTGTGAATTATTCTTTTAATACCGAAAGTTTTCTATTCCAATTTTATTAAAGTTTATTTTTTGAAAGTTTTAACGGGCTTTTAATCTGCCTGGAAAATGAGAAAATCCTTTTAGCGACATGAATTAAGCGTTTCCTCATTCTTTCCTAATTCTTTCCCCGCTATTTAGATTAGCCGCCACCACGAACGTCAAAACTTTACTACGTCGAAGAGTCTAACTTCTATTATTTTATTAATATAACTAACGCAATTATGTGTTGCCAGTAATTCCATTCGTAGATGATGCATTCACGGAGTAATATCCGCGGAAAACATTCTGCCACGGGATTTACATGGGAGATCAAGAACTTTGTAGAACACATTTGCTTTAGAGGAATAAATGTGACACAGTGTTACATAATAATTTATTTTTAATGTTGTAAATTGACATATCGACATATTTGAGACGCGACCCTCTTTCTGTGGCGAATATAATTAATATTGGATAATATAGTTTGCATTTTGCATCAAAGTTTTACAATCGATCCCCATTACGGATGAAATTGTTAAATTATTACAGCCTCTGCTATATATACGTCATAGATAATGCAGATCTTTTTTTCTTTTTATAATACAACGATCATATTATTTGGCACATTTATCGTGAGACTACGCCTAATCGATCGATGGATCAACAGGCCAGCTGTTGAAAATTATACGATGTCCCAGAATTATGAAACAATCTTCCAAGTCAGATTTACTACTTTTTCTTTGTCTTTTCAACGAAATATTCAGTGGAAGATCTCTCTAATTATAAAATTATTATAATAATTTAAGAAAAGTGTGAGAGGAAGCTCTAATAAATTAAAGCGTAAATGGATAATAGAACCTATACTTTAATTAATCAGTTTAATTATATTAATAAAAATAATTACATTTAATAAAAATAAGTTACTAGCCGAAATATTAAATTGACAATTTAAAAGTAACGTTTTTTCCAAAGAAAATGAAGTTACTTCTCGATTTGTTAATAAATCACCCGGAAAGTCTGGGATACTCTGCTGTGTAACGTTAGCGCACAGGGCGTAAAGTAATTTCTATATTTCGTGTTGATACATATAATTAAATGAAGGGACGATTGCGAAGAGAAAATTGTAACGATCGAAGCGTTTAGATTGTTATCCCATGAATGAAGGACTTAGGCCAAGTGTCCTTTTATAGCGCTGTCACTAATTAATGGAAATGACGACGAGGTAGAATGGCGAGTGCAATTGTACAGGAAAGATCTTATAGAACGTGTTTTTCTTAAGTTGAACAGTGTCATGAATCTCGCAAAATCTCATACACAGCGAAAGAATCGATTATCGTAAAACTATCGTTTTAAGAATGCGTCGCTCCAGATTAACGCGCGCGCAAATCAAGCGTGCAAACAATGATGAAGTTGGTTTCTTTTCACGTTGATCAGTCATTCGTCCGATAACACAAATTGTTTTCACCAAAAAAAGCTTCGCTTTCCTTTTTAGAGAGGGTAAGAGACATTTAGGGATGCTTACCGCCAGCCTGGAAAGCGCGCGCGCAAGACGCAATGACGATGAATTATACATAATTTATATTGTACAAGAGAGGGTGGTCGCGCGTTTTCATCAAGAAACAAATCGGAAAGATGCCCCTGGATCAGCTCCGCCGATTAATTGTTGTCGCCATATCCCGCCGCAGCCGCCGCGCCTAGGGGTCTCGGCAGAGCTCCCGCCTGTAACACACCACGAAAGGACGCTAATTACTTAATTGCTTGTGAAAATCCAGTTAATTGCGCGCATCATTCGCCGAATCCGATGCCGCGTAGTAAATCGAAGTCAAAGAGAATATTCGAGCTGCGCGATGAATATCTTTGAGCGGCGATGCGCGAACTGTTATAAAATATAAAAACTCATGAAAAGAATGATATATATTTTGTATAAATGATTTTAATAATTTAACAAAAAAAATTATTTTCAAGTCTGTGTGTATATTTAGTTAAATTTTTAAATATTTCCGCAAAAGTTCTTTCTGTATATAAAGATAAAATGTAAAGAATATACTGAATTGAAAGTGTAATTGTTGATACAATATATAATACTATCAAAATATGATCGCATAATGTGGTCGTTAATTTAATATAAATTAAGGAACTATATCTATTGTATTACGTTGATCAAATGTATATCTATGTGAAAAAACTGATTTTGTTACAATATTTAAAAGTTTAGGTTGATACAAATCTGAAAATAGTTTTGTTGGGTTATCAAAACAATTATGTAAAAACTCAAGTATGATGAGCAATGTTGCAATAAATTTTGATATTCAAGCAACTAATTTGATCGTCCTACATAATTATTTTAGAGTATAGCAAAATTATTTTCAAATCTATATTTAGCTAAATTTTTACTTCAAAACTGTTTTTTCCGTGCACACGAGTAATGAATTAGAGATATAGATCAAGGTACATAATCAAATATAATTTAGGAAAACTTATTCTTAGAACGAAGAAGAGCTTCCTAATACAAATGATACTTAATACGATCTTATCAGGAAAGAAATTGCACGGCGTATTGAATAAGAAAATATAGTCCAACTCTCGTCACCTACACAGGGAAAATATCTCCTTTCGTCATCATAATTTACGTAAATATACATAAATTACATCATTAATATAAACATGCTATTTGATTTGGATATTCCGCGTACATTATGAAATGTTATTATCATTAATTACGTCTTTTTGTACGTAACACATAAATGTGCTCAATAAAGAGAAATGGTCTCTCTCACGAATTACATTCACGTGTGTCGAATCGCTGACAGATCGATATCACTGTCGTCAACGCGGTTTCGCTAATATAGAGAAGAATTTCAGTAATGCGTCACGTCACCCTCGGGAATTTGTATTCATCGCATATTCGCCGTCACGATTGCAAAGATACACACATTACAAATTTGCGGTACGGCGGGGAACTTTTTATAGAGGGGGAGGAAGGAGATAATTGTTAGATGTGAAGTTTTCCCCTCGTAATCCATCCACGTTTCAACTCCGTCGAAAAGTCTAACTGCTCGTTTCTTCGTGTTGGGGGATAAGTTTTATCGTATTATTACGGTCGTTTGTAATTTGCCATCGAAATATCGACTTGCCTGCAGTCCTCTTTATCTATGACCATAATTTTTAACCGCGAGTTATGTAAGACGGGGAAAATATTGCCTTATTAAGTATATAGAACAGATAACCGAAAGTCTTATTTATAAAAAAGTAACTTTGATGAGTTTTATCTCGAAGCTAACTGTGAGTCGCAATTATTCCAAGTGTGACAGAAATAAATATACTCACTCGCACAAACAAATAGATCGCTGTAACGTTACACTGCTGGTCCATTTTCTTTTAATATATCTATATTAGCGAGTGAATATATCTATATGTACGAAATAAATATTTACAGGATATAAATTTGTTCCTCTATTACAACATCATTAAATATTAGATCGAGATTAATTTCTCTAGCATCGCTCAAGAGAAGATAAATGTTGACTGTCCGGGATTTTCCCGCAGCGCAACGCGTTCCGAACACCGTGTTTTCTTGGATGTATTGATAGCTGCAAAATAACGTTCCTCGATGTGACAATATATTGCTGTTAAAAAAGTCGTACGCTTTGTCGAGCGCACGAGGCGTCATAATATTGTTCTGCCGGGCTTTTGGAGATGAAAATTTCGTATCTGCTTTCTCATATAACGTATTGCAAGTTATAAACGGGAGCACATACCTGATGTTTCATATATTGTTCGCGTTGCACACGTCTTTTGCATAATTTCTGAATGTAAAAATTCAAATCAAAATGAAAGAAGGAATAAAATTGATTTATTAAAACACACATTCTTTCACAGATCTTTATGAAGTAAAATTGCATTCCTCTACTCAAATATTTATGTATGTGATAAAAGCAAGCCAAGCATACCTACTTTCGGCAACTATATATGCCCGTACGTAGACATCGTGTAACTTCAAAATGTAGTTTGTTCATTTCCTACATTAAAGTACATGTAGTAGGTCGAAATGAATTTATTTCGTTGAAGATTTGCCTTGGCATTTTTATTAAAAAGAAAGATGATAAATGTATGAATTAATTTGCATGTGAAGTCGTAGAACGTACGGGCGTTTCTCGTAACTCTTTTATGTAGCAGTTCTCTTTGAACGAGTTCAGTAGGTCTGAGAAATTCTAACACATACACGTTAATTTCTAGACAATTAATGTTACGAACGTTACAAAATATATATAAATGCTGAGAAGTAAAATTTGTACAAATTGAAATACGCTTTAGTTCTCTAAGTTAAAAGCGTATATGCATTTTGTGCAAATAAGTTCTTGTAAAATTTATTATGGAAAAGTGAGAACTATACAAATTGACCTCTTAAAATACCGTAAAATGGATAAATGAGATAAAAATAATGTAAGTACATAAAAATAATGTTATTGAAAATATGTGATGTTGAATTAAATCTTTGTTATGGATAACATATCCTAAATTTATCCCAAAATGAAAGATAGAAGGAAGATAGAAGAAAGACGATTGAAAGAAGAGTGTAAATTTGCAACACATTTTACATGTATTTTTAGGGAGGTCTCAAATAACTTTCACGTGATACATATGAAGCCATTGTTATTTATGGCTAATGTCACTTATTTGTTAATTGATATTCTTTTATCTACAGCAATTAGATTCTATGATTCAATTCTTCGTTAATATTTTAATACTCCAAATATTCGTTAGATGGACATTTTTCTAATTAATACCATGTTATAATCCCTATCCCTATTGTCCTACGAGACAACCAGCATGCACGTCGCGACCACACTTCAGTTTGTAAAAGCTGCGTCACTCTCACTAATTACGAGAAAATTAATTTCCCAGGGAATACTCGTAGCTCACATTAAGAATAGAATGCAAAGGGGACTCGAAAAGCATTATGAATTAAACGCGCATTCCAGAAACAGAAATAATTCATGCAGAGAGCACGGATATCCATTTCGAAGAGAATTTTCGATGACACGAAAATGTACTAAGTACGCATTAATTATAAAAGTTCTTTCATCTCTTTATCTCACTGTATCTTTTTTTATATAATTGATTATATCGCGTTTTATATAAAATTGTTTTTATCTAATAAGTGACTGCGTGAGTTATAATTTTAAAACGCACGTAATATATAAAATATATAAATGTTAAAATTAGTGAATATATGAGATAAAGAATGTAATATAATTTATTTATATTTTAATCAGTTTAATGTTAAAGATTATTTGAATGGCAAAATAAATTGCGCGAATCCATTAGCTCATTAATTAATCAATTCAAATTGTTAAAATACAAATGACCTGCAAATAAATACTGACTATTTTATTCGACATTTACATAAATTTACGCGGAAAGTTTAAAATAAATAGGATAAATAGGAGCAATGAAAAAGAGAGTTTTATAAGATATATCATCAACGTTACCTAGTTACTTTAGAGTTAAGACTTAAATGGCATAGATTTTTCTTGCGTTCTACATAATATAAAACACGTACTGCTTTACTATAATATATACATGTGTAAACAAGATACTTATACATATATCAAAATATATTAGAGAGAAATAACCTATTATAAGACATTTTGACTTTATCATGTAAAACATTTACCTCTCTACCGCATTGTATAAATTTTAAATGAATTTACGTCACATTAAACATAGAAAAAAAAATAATTAGAATTAGTTTTCTGTAAATAATGTGCATTTTTAATAATGTCTTATAAGCCTATTATAAACAATTTGTAAATTCTAATCCACAGTGAAAATAGAATTTTATTTAAATGAAACTTATAAAACTTCCTAATAGCATGGGTGTTCACAGGATTTTTTCTAAGAGGGGAGCAGTCTTGCCACACATAAGGAAAAAATGTTTAAATATTTTCTTCCTTGGTGACCCTACAATCCCTACACTGCAAGTATCGAGTTAATGACTTTTTTCGTCACTTATTCATTTCTAATGTGTACATCTTTTACTTTTTAGTTAAAATCTTCCTCACAACGACAAGGTAAGTGTATCGAAGAAGTTTGTGTACACCTTTTACTTTTTAGTTAAAATTTTCCTCATAACGACAAGGTAGGTGTATGTCGAAGAAGATATTTCGTTTTTTTGTTAAAAATTATTTTTTATTTTTTTGTATTCTAATGGAAAAATTTCGCTGAAATTATTTTACGTTTTGGAACATTTTTCAGCAAAATTTCAGTAATTTTTAGTTGAAAAATTCATTTTCTCAAAATTTTAGCATTTTAGAAAAATTTCAGTTTAATTTCAGCGATTTTTAGTTGAAAAATTCATTTTCAGCAAAATTTTAGCAAAATTTCAGACAAATTTCAATAAAAATTTCAGACAAATTTCAGCAAAATTTCAGAGAAATTTCAGCGATTTTTCAATATGTTAAATGAAAAATTCACTTTTAGTGAAATTTCAGCAATTTTTCAGCAATTTCGCTGAAATGTTCCAAAATGTAGAATACTTTCAGCGAAATTTTTTTCACCAGGGTATTTTTGTATTTTTAAATTTTAACCCCTTTAACACGCGTTTTTATTCAACACGCGTCTCTCAACCAGGAGGGGGGAGGCAAATGCCCCACCTTGCCACCCTCCCCCGTGGACGCCCATGCTCATTTGCCATGTCTCGTTTTAAATTATGTCTATTTTATTCTTTATGAATAAATTGTTAATTACCAGCAAGAAATGACTATTAATTAGACATTGAATTGATCGAAATCATCGGATCAATATCGATTTGACATCAATTTGATTTCTCACTGGATATTGTTTACTTTTTAATAAATTCATTTCTTTCTGAATAATGTTTACTTTATCAAAATCAGTTTTTTTTAAATATTTTCTCTGTACGAATACTTCTTGCACTCATTGTATATAATTAAATGAATGTAATATTTTACGAACTTTTATGTTTGCCTTAAGGATTTATTTCATCGATGCAAAAATACAGTGAGAACTTACGGAGATGTGTTGCCCAGAACGACCAAATCGGAGACGCAGCGATGGCGATCGCTGCGACTTTCGAATCATCAGGTGTTCCAGCGGGATGCCGTCCAAACCGACGTTGTCGAGCGCATTACGTTGTAGCAAGAGCTTATACAGCTCATGAATATTCTCTGCGGGTGCTTTTTCCGCCATTTCTTCTGTAAACATAAACGTATAGATTCATATATTATATATAGTGTTAAAAAATCATTCAGCATTTATATGATAGATGGTACACACCATACTGATTGTGAGTAAAGAAGACTTAGTGAACATAGTTGAAAGTTCAACCGAAAGTTCTAAGATATAAACATTTTTGTATGTTAGTATCGTAACTGATTTGTTGGCTTCTATTTGTCGTGAAGGTTTACCTCAGTGTTTACAAATCTCGTTCTGAATGTTCTCATTCACCGTAGATGTAATTAAAAATTTCGGAAATCAGTAAGTTGACATCAACTAGCTGTTACAATTGGATGGGCATTATGACAGATTACTTCATTGGACCTGTAATTCTTCCAAATAGGCTATCACATACAATGCTATTTATCTCAATTTCTCTCTTTTCAGGTCGTATGCAATACATAGAAGGCAATAAGTTAGTTACGATACTAATATACAAAATTGTTTATTAATAAGTAATAAAATTATAATAGTAATAATAAAATAATAAATAGTAAAATTATGTATTTGTATCTCAGAAATGGTTAAACTTCCGACCTATTTTCACTAAGATTTTTTTACTCAGTATGGTGTGTATCTACTACATAAATGCTAAATGGTTTTTTTAACACCTTGTATAACTGCTATACAGGATTAAACATGTATATATAAGATTAAACATGTGTATATAAGATTAAACATGTGTGTACAGGATTAAACATTGATATTTCATGGAAGAGAGGATTTAACGAACAGCAGGAAACTTGTAACATCATTTTTGTTTGTTTTACGCGTATTGGTATCAACATAATTGCAGAGAAATTCTTCCTCTGCATTATAAGGTAAAGTATTATATAAGATAAAGTAATTCTGTTTTGATATATGTGTATCGATTTGTATAATTATCGTATAAATATTCATCGCATTTCAGCTACTGTCAATATCAACGATTTCTATTGTGAACGAATCTTGGAACAGATTTTGATCCTATTAAAGAGCCATCGCTAGAAGCTTACTGCTTGAGAATTAATAGCACACATTTTAAAAGCGTCAATGGAATCTGTTGTCATATTGTCGACAAGTCTTCAATCGATAGCCGTCACTTTGTCTTACGATCCAGAGAAGAAACTAGTATCTTTCATCGTTGTTTAAAAGTTGATTTCCGGGATGTGTGCCAAGTGCAACTCTTCTATTCTCTCTCTCTCTCTCTCTATAGATACACGTATGCCGCATCTCACTTTCGAAAGAATGTAAATTAGACGCGTGTGTGATGCGCGCGGCCAGTTTTACGGGAAAATAGAGAGAAAGTATGACGTTTTACAAGTACGTCCGTTTTATGCGGCATTAAACCGCTTTACGATAAGTAGCGTTCTTCGTACGGGCACGTAGGGTCATACGAATTGGTGGGCGTTTATACGGTTACTATCGTACATAACGCGCGTTATAACGATTATTCACTTTTATTCATCCACATAGTCGTCCTATAAAAAAAAAACAGAAAAAATACACATATTCTATCGGCGATGCATCGCGATGGCGACGTTATCTGACGTGTCGTTTATCATATACGTAATACATATATATTTATATCTTGACGTGCACGTATTCAGAATTATTAACGCTTTCAGTATCGGTATCAATTTTTTTTCAAAAAATAAAGATACATTGTGTTTCTATAAGATTTATAGATAACAAATGTTTTTCGAATGTTTTTGAAAACTATAAAAGCTATATAAAAGCTCGACTATGGTCAGTTACAGCGCTTGACAGGGACGTTATTTCTACATACGTGTTTGTATTTTACATCTTCACATTTTTATTTACATAAAATATACATACTGATTTAATAATGAATAAAGAAAGAATAAGGGTTATATCTGTTTATGGAGAACAAAAAGGAAAAAATTTAGAGGAAAAATTGAAGGGATTTATGAAGGAAGAGAAAGAAGGAAATTTAATTATAGGTGCAGAGAATTTTAATATAAGAATAGGGGAGCTGGGAGGAATGGAAATGGAAGGAGAAGGTGTGGAGAGATGTAGCAAGAATAAAATTATAAGAAATAGAGGTAGGAGCTTTGTAGAATGGGTAAAAGATAAAGGTTTATATAGTTTGAACGGAAGAACGTCCGGTGACTGGGAGGGTGAATATACATATATAAAAGCAAGGGGTAATTCGGTTATAGATTACGTAATGGTTAATGAAGATGTAAATGATAGGATTATAGATTTTAAGGTTGATGTAAGAGTAGACTCGGATCACTTGCTTCTGTGCCTGAAAATCAAAGAGCATGGAGAAGAAGAGGATCCGATCACAGATGCTGAACGGAAATGAGAGGAAGAAGTAATATCTTGGAATGAGGAGGCAATTAAGAGATACCAAAAAGAAACAGAAAGTTGGCCGGAAATTAAACGAATTGTTTATGGGAGCAAATGGTAAAGAAGGTAAAAAGGAAAAAAAGAATTAGAGCACAAGGACTGGTGGGACAGGAGCTATACTAAAGGGAAGAAGGAAATTAAGAAGATGTATTGAAGATGGAGGAGAGGAAAGATAGAAGGGGAAGATTATTTACGAGATGTAAAATTACCGTCAAATTCAATTTGACAATTACTTACGGTAAAATTACGGTAAAATGGTAATTTATTGGTAATTTTGGTAAAATTTGTTGTTTTTTTATAGTTTTACGCAAACAGGTTTTATTTATGTTTTTCACATTAATGCATAATATAAAACAATATTCTTCTAATATTCTCATCGAGAATATAAATCGCTGATAGAATAATAGGACTGTTCACTAAATCTAAACGTAAAATCTAATCGATGCTAAAATCCGTTTTCAATATATGGTTCTCTAGAGATTTGATACAGTGATCAAAAAATAGAAAGCGATGCAGATTAAAAATGGAATAAAATTGATGGGAAAAAATTTTAAAAGATTTTTAGAGGAAAGAAAACTTAAATTCTGTACAGATAAAACTAAGGTGTTAGTTTGTGATAGGAGAGGAAGAGAGCAAATTGAAAAATGGAAATGAAGTAAAAAGCAAATAGAGCAAGTGCAGGAATTTAAGTATCTAGGCTTTACTAGGCTTTACTAAGTTTATCTAGGCTTTAAATTGAGAACACGTGTTCTCAATTTACTATAGAGGAAATGTATTTATGATCGGGGATGCTAGGAAGAGAAAAAGCTTTGAAACGGATGTTTATTCACATGTCTTTGATTATTTTCAAATAACGATATTGATAAACTTAACCAGTTCATCAATAAAAAACCGATCTTTTTTTATTGTAACAAAGTAGTAGGTCCTACATGTCGACCTTGTAAGAATACAGACGATAGAATTTTCCCGCGTGTATATCGCACAAAGGCAAACAGGCAATCATTTTCCGATTGAATAGGCACCTTTCAACTCTGTGAAAAACTTGCGTGGTAAAATTCGAGGACGCGCGATGATGTGAAACATGCTGGTGCGGTTTTTTTTTATTCAAAACCGCAGCTCGTGTACAATCGATCGGATAAACCTAGTTTTGCGCATTAAAAAAATCGTAAAATACCGGATGCAAAAATAAGGTATACTGCAATTGCGATGGTTTGACTTTTATGCCAAATGCGAATTATTTGTTCTAAAAAGGTAAAATTAACGAAGCGCGAGTTTAAAAGTAGATGGGGTTGTCCGATGCACCTGTTGACTATCATAACGCGCTGTATCGCCTTTCGCGTTATAATGCGGACTATGTTACATTAAATTTTATCTCCATGAAGCTAAATATTCGCTGTTTGCTTCGTTAATGGCTTCTCTAACACTACCGTGCAGTTTCAGATGATTTAATAAATAATATCGAAATTACGAGGACATTCTGAAAAGAAAATTAAATCTTCCATATAAAGAGAAAAAAAAACTATATTGAAATATGTATCAACTACAACAAGTGGAGCTGATATCGATGTTTGTGATGCTCGACTGAACGCTTTTGCGGTCTACGAAAAAACCATGTACTGGAATTCGTTTGTGCACGAGTGGAATGTAGGTATATTGATAAAACGCTTATGGCAGAAGGACCCTAACAGATAATTCGCGCGAAAGCGATGTCGTGACGAGGTCATTTTGGCATTGTTCGGAGAGAGAGGAAAAGAGAGACCGTATGATAGGACACGATCCTCTTATAAGCGATTATTGAATGGAGAGAGATTTGACCGATCGTACGCGTGATTAGGGGCAACGATGAAGGTGACACATAGAACGATCAATATGATCAGACCGGATTTGCGATGAGTTTATATTTTGGGGTGAAATACATAATTCCTAATCATCCTGGATTAACTGTTTCGTATCGAGCGTTGTAATTATTCATGGCAATGTAATATTATCTTCATTAGCTGATAAGAGGGAATATTCGTTAGTACCGATTCCATGTTTAAAAATAATACCTTAGTTCTCACTATTAACGGTGTTGTATTGCTTTTCTCTTAACATTATCAGATTATTTAAACTTTATTTTTCCCAGGATAGGACTCGTTCATTTTTTAAGCTTGTCATTTAAATTTTCTCTAACTAAATTACTCAATTCATTTATTAATAGTATTGGATGGTAAATATCTGTAGATTAAAAACATTACGCTTTTAATTTGTGATAAAAATAATAAACTCTCTGTAACATATTTGAAGCAAAAGTCGTGAAATTATTTTCTTTATTTTAATTAATTATTTTTTTATTGAAATAAAATTAACTCCTGTTTAAAATCTGTCCAAAATTTTGCAAAAAATGAACGCCTATTTAATTCTGAATAATTCTAAAATTATTAATATTTATATTTTAACATTTTACTTAAAAAAGTTCATTACACATATGGAAAGAGAAATAAACTATTATTTAAAAATATGCACGAAAATTGTAAAAAACAAAAAATCATATATTTTATAATATAAAAATATTAAATATTACTTTTGTAATTACGCTAAAAAAATTATTCTATAGATACGCGTGAAGATAACTGCAATCACATAACTATCATATAACATAATGAGGCAAAACCGTTATATTAAAAAGTGCAATACGATAGAAACATTAATTAGACTTACATTTTTCGCTACGGTCTAGAAGCAGACGGCTTAATAATAGCCATTCTTTGCAATCATTAATTATTATAGTAGGAGACGCGCTGGCAACGGCCTTGCGTTGATATGCGGTATTATCGGTAATGGAATACAAAAACGTGTTATCATGTCAAGTAAGAGTGAAACTTTAATAAGACTTATAGCGCAAGAGGATAGCTCGGCAAAACGCAAATTTACATCGAAAGGACGAGAAATATTCATCATAAGAATTCGTCAGAATGATGAGCTTTGAAGAAATATAGAAGCTTATTATTATTGTTGTTTTAAAGAAGTATAAGAATATATAGAGAGAGAGAGAGAGTGTAAAAGAGTATAAGAATAAGAAGCTTCTTTCGGAAATGATACTAATAGCGAATTCGATTGGACGCACTCAGTGCGGACTGATGCATATAAAACCGTCATACACAAATTAACGTAAAGATATGTGTTTCAGTATCGAGTGTTTTTCGTCCTAATGAAGTGAACTGCGATATTCACGAAACACACAGAAAAATATGGAAATAATAATTACCCTATGCGAGTAATAATTACTTGGTTCAAGTATTTCAAAAGTTCATATATCCGTAAATCTATCATAAGTTTATCACAAACATTAATCTTCCGCTAACCAAGTGGAAAATCAACATGAATCATATATGGGTATATCTGATATCCCATGTTATACTTTATCATAAATATACTATAACTTAGTATGATTGGTAACAATGCACTCTCCAGTTGCACCGGTAACATGCGTGTGGTACTTTTTAAGAAGTTATAGGAATTTATCTTGTTGGGGTATGTCACACTTCATTTGGTTCGCGGAGGGTTAAATTTATTCAAAACATATTTTGAATCCTAATAAGTTTAATAAATACTTCAATTAAATTTATTAAATTAAAAGAAATTCGATTTGCTTATTAAGAAAAGTTCATTTCTTTTCGATCAATTTTATAATATTCTTCAAAAGAAAATAAATTCCTGTTTTGAGTACATAATAATTGTTTTTTTTAAATTTTGTAATATAGGTATATTTTAAAATTATTATCAAAAAATATTTTTTGTTAAAGATAACTATTATTTAAAAGGAAGAAAATAAATTGAGTAATCACTTTTTTTAGCAATACAATGATATTTTTCTGCATATGGAAAGTACTCGTGGAAGTTTATATGTATTTATTATAAATATCATTACATAAAAACCAAGTAAACCGTGATATTCAATATACTTTATTGCGCTTTTAGGTAAAATATGTATTTTATAATTTAAAATGTTTTACATTTTTACTTTGCATTCAGATTAAAAAAGTGTACAAAGGTTTTAATATGTTTCGATCCGCACTAGTACATCTAATCGAATTCGCTACAGGAGTTATCACAATTTAATGCAATATAAATCCCGTATCAATTCCAAAAATTTTCCAGAAAATAACACAGGAATGAAAAAAGCCATATTCAATCGAAACGATTATTCGCGTGTGTTTAATAATATATTTTTTGTAAATTTATACAATTTCCAATTCAAGTAAACTGTTCGCCGATTATTTGTCGGTCTTCAAACACAGATCTCAAATCGAAGCTGGAGTAGTAATATCGCAAGTTAAATTGACAAGCAATTTAATATTATTGATAATAAACATCATAAAAACTGTAAACAATTTATTACGACAAATATTACCTCGGAATTCGAATCTCCCATATTTCGTGCTAGAAATTCCGTTCAAAAATTAAATTTACTCCAATCATATAAAAAAATAAATAACTGTTTATTTTAAGGAAACTAATAAATGCACACGATTATTTTGCGTGTGTTAATATCTTTTCAAGTAAACAATAAATAATTTGTAAAGTAACATGGGAATAATATGATAACTTACCTCCGTAATCCATGTAATTTTCGGTAGCATCCACGAGACCGACTATCACGACGACAAGAATGAAAGCTGCGCAATATTTAGCGTACATAATGTTCTCTTCTGTTTTCTGCAATCAAACAAACGATTCTACATGTGATTTGATTCCTCTGGTCGATTTTGCGGACGTAAACGTGTTTTTCTTTAGGCACGTGCGGTCGAGAACGCGCATATGTGCCAAGCGTGTTATCTAATCGATTTGGTAAAGAATAATTTTCCTTCTTTCTTTCTTTTTTTACATTACAAAGATGAAAGAGATTGTCACACTAGTATTTTATAATTCAAACGTTTGTAGCACGACACAACACGTCGCAATGGCAGTTTTGTTTCTAACTAAGACTTGCACTTTGCAGAAGCTTCGACCATGTTGGAATATGTACTACGTTTGTCGCTGATATAATTCCCCCATGTATCGTTTGGACATGCGAACGTTTGACGAAAATGAGGGAAGATAAATTCAAAACCACTACGATAACAATCAAGTCAAGTATGGGGGTTCCGCGATTAAATAACATAGCTTACTCAAGAGACATTATTTAGAAACGTAGCTTTTCGAGCGCTGTCATAATAATTTTATTATGCAAAATATTTCGTTAAATCATTTTCCCGTGTCCGTTGTAAAGAGCTGTCCAAATGAAATGTGAATTTCGAGTTGCTTAATGAATTTATGTTTCTTATTAAGGTATGTGATGGAATAACAGTATTGTTAACATTACGGTATTTATTTTAGTATACCACAATAGCCTGTGAGTATATTATTTTCGGAAAATCTAAAATTATAGGGAAATATATAGTTCGCATAATCGTTACTAATTATAACTTTTTTCAAATTTTTTTGTACTTTTAAAAGTTACATTTTTTAATTAAAATGCAGTGTTTTCGCTATTCTTATATTTAAATATCAAATATATTGACAGGAAGCTAATAATAAAAGCTAACAGTAAATGTGTTACGAAGTATGGGAGTAATCCGTTAATTGAATTTTACTTTCAAAAAATTAAATATTTATCGACAAAGAAATTGATAGGCATACACACACACACACACACACACACACACACACACACACACACACACACA